CAGAAGTACACTTGTTATCAGTGCCGTCTTTGACCTATTGGAGGCCCTGGGCATATTAGGATAATGGGGCCCCTATGACTTCCGTTTGGTGATAAGCTAGTAAAGTTCATGTTCAATGCTAATATTACAAGATTTGTTAGCTAAGCTATTTGATAAAACTAGTTTTTACGGGTTAATGCACGAAATTTTATTTATTTATTGACGTTTCGCAGCCTTTTCAGGTCTGCATCGTCAGAATAAGACCAGACATGACCTGAAAAGGCTGCGAAACGTCAATAAATAAATAAAGTTTCGTGTATTAACCCGTAAAAACTAGTTTTATATAATGAGTGATGTGCGTGAAAACCTAAGAAACAAATAAGCTATTTGATTTTGATTTTAGTAAACTGGTAAAATGAAAATGTTGTGAATGTGAAATTGGTTTCGATTGCATCTCAAAAGAGTTCTTGCGATAACAATAGGGTATTTGGAACGATATTTGTCAAGCTTTAGAAAATGTTCTCACATTATTTTCTAATGTTTACCTTAGTGAAAAAATAGTATCTAGGTAGGTACTTCAAAAGAAATAAGCCACTACTGGACATTAGCGAAATTAGCGAAAAAGACACAAAAAAAATGGTTGCCTGTAAAGTCGGTTTTACGGGCGAAGATTTTACGTGACAACGTCTTTTTCTCGGTAGAATATTTATTGATATGAATATAATTAAATTGCACAATAGGAACAAGGAATTGAATGAAAATAAGAATTGCACAAATTTTAACTATAGAAATATATTTTGTTTACTAAAACATTGTACATGTAAACTTAAACTCATCGTAACGTTACCGAGCGTTACACTTTTTCATAAGTGACTCCCAGCCGCAACCTAATTTAAGACGTTGTCACGTCAAAAAACGATCGAGCGAGCCTTACAGTAGTCGCGTATGAAATGAAATGTAATGAAAAGTCATTTATTCAGTTTAGGCTGTTACAAGCACTTGTGAAGGTCAAGAAGTATGATGTGTAAAATTCGAAACCTCAGCTTATATTAGTAAAAAAAGAAATAAAACCTATTACAAAAGAAATAAGCCATTTAAAGGACTTTTAGGCGGGATCAGGAACCGTCAGTTTAGCAGTTTTGTTTTTCTTGTTAGGAATTGTGTTGTGGTGGATGACAGTGTCTAATAATGGTGGATTATTATGTGTTCGGGAACATGCACAAGTGTTGGCAAGTGAAACAAAATAGCGGAAAGTGTCTTTCGACGTTCTCTCAAGAAGTCCACGGGGAGGTTCCAGTAAATCCCCACACATTTACTGAAACAGGGAAAGGGGGATTGACTTGACTGCCACTTACTTTGACTTGATTTATTACTTTGACCACGAGTGCTATAGAATTTGTAAATATTTTAACATTTGACACTGGCTAAATGCACAAGCCGTGCGAAGCCATTTAGGAAAAAAAAACATTTGAACATTATGTTCTAAAATCAAATCAAATAGCGCGCGCTTTCGCGACTTCCTGTTGCACACATCCGTCCTATTTCACGAAATCACTCCCACAAATTCGAAGAAAGCGAGAGGAAAAATACCTTTTACAAATCGTCGTTATTGTAATTTTGGTTATCAACGGAATTGTTACTATAGTCATCTAATACCCTGTTATTTCAAATTCCCGTTAAACCTAAATCAATATTAAGTCAAAAATCGATCGAATGAATTTGTACAATCAATGTATTTCTTAGGTACCTATTATAGATGTACTTACCTGCCTACTTCCAAGACTCGAGTTCGTAAGAGCTATACAAACTAAATAGAAACTGTAAACTAATAAGAAAAATGAATAAATCAATACGTTACTGATAAAGAAGTGAGGCTCAAAATAACTAATTGCACCTACCTTACTGGAAATGCGATTTTTAATTTGTAAAACGTGCTAATTGTTTGAAGTTCCAACACTACTAACGCCATCTATTAGCACAATAAGTAAACTAGATTACTGGCACACATTCTTCTGAAGATATGCGATTTGTCGTTTATTTAAAAACCGGTCAAGTGCGAGTCGGAATCGCGCACGCAGAGTTCCTAGCCATTATACCTACTATAAATTTCTTACGAGTTTTCCTGTAATCTACATGCAAAAAGCTACATCCCATTTTATGTTTAAAGTTTAGACGCAGAAGTTACGGAGATAAGAGGACAGGTCAATTTTCATCTATTTTCTTAAATAACCTTTTCAGTATTTATTTTACATTTGTAAAAAATAATATAACACACGTTAAAGTTAACTTTTCAATTTTCTAAATCACCCCCCAAAAGGATCTCCCTTATTCGGAATATATTTATTTACATTATTTTTCCGTGTTTGGTACAAGCATGTATGTCTATGACGTTATTCATGTCACAGACACACATGCATGTACCAAATTACAATTTCATCGGTCAAGCAGATTCTGAGCTCGACTGTAGCAGACCAGGGTTCCGCTTTTACCGATTCAGGTACAGAACCCTTAAAAATGAGTCTTATCACTATACCATAAAGAGAATGGTAAAAAAGAAATATCAATCTGTTATTATTATAGTAAATTCTAAAGCTCACACGGTACAAATTAATGACATAGTTAAGTATTTCCAAGTACCGCGTCTACCGCCCAATTACCATTGTCTAATGAACGCAAATAACCACGAATAGAATGATTTAATTGCGAGGTAACCCACACTCTGTATCGGTCAGCAAACAATTGTGAAGAAAAAGCAAATAAACAGCGATCTCTTGCTACCGACTGCTAATAAAGATCGTATATCAGAGGCTAATGACACGTTTCGCCGATTCTAATTTGCTACACTGAATCGTTTTGCCGAGTGATTCAGATAAAATCTGCGGTGGTAATTTTCGCGATAACATCTTTGGTGAAGCTAGCGACATCTAGTGATGAGAAGTTTAACTAATTGGTTGTATGAAACTTGTGTGCGTTGAGTTTAGCGGCATCTAGTAACGAGCGGCTAAATGATTGAGCTATGAAGAGTGGTTGTTATAAAAAGCATCATTAGTGATTTACTTGAGAAATATTTAACGTAATAACAAACAGATGGCGCGCACAGAAATTATTTTGCGGTACTATGTACTTATAATACCTCTTATAATCTGCGGTACTACTCGAGTCTACAACTGTTTATTTGTATTTTTTATTCTAAAGCATTACTAGCAGCTGCCCGCGACTTCCTCCGCGATACTTTAGTTTTTGGGAATTCCTCAATAAACCAAATTTTTGATGTGTAACATCTTTCCTTTTGCTTTCCTGCAATTTGTGGGAGTGATTTTGTGAAATGGGACGGAAGTGTGTAACAGGAAGTCGTGAAAGCGCGCGCTCTTTGATTTGATTCTAGAACATAATTTTCAAATGGGTTATTCTTTTTTGTAGTAGACTTTATTATAAGGTAATATAAGGTGAGGTTTCAAATGTTACACATCATACGCGACTACTGTAAGGCTCGCTCGTTTTTTTGGATAAAAAGTTATCGTCTCATTCCAATTCCTCCAGATCAGCCGTTTTTGCGGCTTAAGCATTTATAAGAGTAGTAAGGAATTTTGTAAATTCTTTACCCCACTCTATATTGCTGGTCGAATTTTATTTTTTGGCATCTAAATGAAAATATCCTTTAGCAAAGATGATACAGAAATGCGTTCCGAGCGTCACACGGAAGTCCCTTAAATATTTATTTTATTATTATAATTGTACAGAACAGACGCCGCCCTAATTCAATAGTTTAATAATCTTATGTGTTGTAAATAGTAGTCATAGTTAGTTATAAGTGAAATGTAAAATTATTGTTATTTTAATAAAGAGTTGCGCAACATTCATTTCACGATAGGTAGGTACACATATTCAGTAACACAACGCTGTGCGAGACAGCACTATAGTCTCTCTCGCACAGCGCTAGGATAGGCCCACGGCCGCTATAACGTCGCACAAAGCGCGAACAGAAATAGCACCGTGAGAGAGACAGCATTATAGGCTGTCCCTCTCACAGTGCTCCGATAGGCGCACTAGCGCAGTGATATAGCGCTAAGTGCGAACACTTGTGGCCTACATAGGTAGTGACCAAAATAGCCTCGACCTTAATAATAATAAAAAAAAAAATAAAAAAAAATAAAAAAAAAAATAAAAAAAAAAAAAAAAAAAAAAAGAGAGACGACGACCCCAGAGCCTCGACCTCTTTCATCACTCATCGTTCACCGATACACCACTGCACATGCAACAAGCAACAAGCGCACTGAAGCTAGAAAAAGGGATTTTCATTGAAGCTGCCAGCCCCATAGGCATCCGCACCCCACCGCACCGTATCGAACGGTTATAGGGAAGAGCGCCACAGACGCCGTTACGAACAATAATTATATATATATATATATATATATTTATATATAAACGAATATACAACTTAATAGGTATTTCATTTTATTAATTTATACAAAAAAAGGCAAAAAAATCACGTTATAGAGCGCCTGTTAAATATTAATTTAATTTTTTCCCATTTTATTGAAACTACAAAATACGTCATCTGTGAACATTTCCACTGTCTAGCTATCACGGTTCATGAGATACAGCCTGATGACGGACAGACAGACGGACAATGGAATCTTAGTAATAGCTTCCCCCTTTAGGTCGGAAAACTACACATAAACTAAACATATTAAAAACAATATATGAGACATGCAATTTCTCTGTTTTATACATAGCATAGATTGATGTCAATGATCAATCTTATCTATTTTAGGTGTTAAAAGTTATACAAACATTAAAACCGGTAAAAAACGGAAACCCCAAGCTATTTTTGTTGAACTGGAGTCGACTAATTTGAAAGCAAAGTTCATTCCGCCGTGCTATTTTCAGCTTCAACTCTGAACGGATAAAGCCCATAACCGCTTAAGACTCATCTTGAAAAGTCCAACGTCGAGTGATTTAATATGAACTTGATTGTGGACTTTGTGTTTAGTAGTGCCGTAACACAGCGGCTGCTAAAGATGTATTTTATGTGCTTATTTATTGTGGCAAGTTTACTTGCAAATTCTGTAAGTATTCGCTAACTTAATTAATCTAAATAAAACAATATTTGTTTCTTAGGTTTTCACGCCCATCAGTCATTAAATATAACTAGTTTTAACGTGTTAATGCACGAAACTTTATTTATTTATTAGTCAGAATACTTACTGACTTTTTATTTAAAAAAAAAACAACTCGGTATTCTGTCGATGCAGACCTGAAAAGGCTGCGATCCGTCAATAAATAAATAAAGTTTCGTGCATTAACCCGTTAAAACTAGTTTTATTTAAATAAAACAAGTTTCAACATGTTCGTTGAACTGATTTTATTTCTTTATTGTCGTTTCGCATCCTATGCAGGAATGCATCGTAGGAATAATGATGTTAAATTATTATTAATAAATCTAATTTAATTATTAATTTTAAATTATATGATTTTGCATAATGATAATCAATAAAGCAATAAAATCAGTGCATCTAACCCGTTGAAACTTGTTTGTTTATTGTTCCTGTATATATTATTATTGTAAATAACATTTGTGTAATGATAAATTTTTATAGGAAAGTGACTTCATGAGTTATCTCATATTAAAGTCATTTTTCAATTTGACGACTCTGTATATAATACAGGGAGAAAAAAACAGCCCATGCTGAGTTTCTTGCCGGTTCTTCTCAGTACAAGGTCTCCCGCCGTAGATTTGCGAACCGATGGCGTAACTTTTCGACGTCTACATGTGCTTGTAACAGCCTAGACTGAATCTATATTAAAAGATATATAAAATATATATCTTTTACCAAGTGACCGTTATCTACTTCATTTTTTTTTTGTTTTTCTGTCAACTTTAATTTCTATAATCGTTGTATTTGAGGCTCTTTTGTCAAAGAGTTATTATGCGTATGCGTGTGTATATATGTGTATGTTACGTTTATTTATTGCATTTGATTATTTGAAAATATACATTATTAGCTTTCTGCGCTCCTTCATATCGACAATGACGACCTCCGTGGCCGAGTGGTTTGTACACCGGGTTTCATGGTGTCGCCGACTCGAGAGGTCCCGGGTTTGAATCCCGGTGGGGGCAGGTGTTTGTGTGATGAATACGAGCATTTGTACTCCAGTCGTGGATGTTTAATATGTATTTCTATATAAATATGTACAGTATATGTATTCTATCCGTTACCCTAGCATCCCATAACACAAGCCTTACAGTGCTTACTTTGGGTTGGAAATATTTATTTATTATTTATTTAATGAAAAGGTTAAATCCCTTAAACGCCACTTTGGTAAAAAATGAAAATGTGAATTTATTACACACATACCTACATCATTCAAGTTCATTATTAAAACTTATAAATTATAATATCAAGTACGTGTGGTACATATTACTTATGAATGATAGTAACAAGTTAGGTCTAATTAGATGAATGAATGCAAGGTCTACATTCTCGATCTTAGTTCAAGGATATATCATTCACTAGACATTTCCGCTCGTTCTGTCATACATAGAAGATAAACAATGGATTGTATTTGTATATTAAAATGGAACTTATAAAACTTTGAAACTTAGGCTTACTAGATGTTAAATTAAACTTATTATATAGCTAAAACTTGGTTTCCCGTGCAAACTTCAACCCACTGACGAAACATGACTTCTAACGAATAAAATTAGATAAGGGAAGCGTCACTTTAGCAGTTTTGTTTTTCTTGTTAAAAATTGTGTTGTGGCGGATGTTAGTATCTAATAATGGTGGATTATTAAACACTAAGTGTTTGGGAATATGCACAGAACAAGTGTTGGCAAGTGAAACAAAATAGCGGAAAATGTCTTTCGACGTTCCCTCAAGAAGTCCACGGGGAGGTTCCAGTAAATCCCCACACTTTTACTGAAACATAGGGAAAGGGGGATTGACTTGACTGCCACTTACTTTGACTTGATTTATTACTTTGACCACGAGTGCTATAGTATTTGTAAACATTTTAAAACTTGACATTGACTAAATGCACAAGCCGCGCGAAGCCATTTAGAAAAAAAATATAGATAAGTTACTCTATGTTTTGTCTCTGTTCATTGAATTAGAAATGGCACTTGAGTGACATGAACGAAAGACGGTGTAACTAGTCCAATCTTATTCGTCGTTTATTAATAAGGGAGCGAGATTAAAACTATCCTTCTAACCTTTCCGGGGACTCAAACTGTCTATCTATATACCAAACTTCATCTCAATCGGTTCCACAGTTTAAACGTGAATAGGTAACGGACAGACACACTTTCGCATTTTTAATATTAGTAGGGATAGTGTCGTATGCCTGAAAAGAATACAATTTGCTTGTATAAAATGGGGTAGGGTATTGTGTAAAAGCCCGTAAGGTGTGGCCAGCCCACAGGACTCAGAAAGTGGTTAAAAGAGTGATTATTAGAGAGAGAGAGAGAGAGAGAGAGAGAGAGACATTTTTTATTAACCATTAATTACACGAGTATTACAACAACAATGAAAGAACACATAAATATTAACTTATGTTAATTTAGAGTTATGTTAAGTTAGTTTTTAATTTTGTTTTTTATAAAACAAAATTAAAAACTAACTTAAAACTATAAAAGTAAATTAATGGTTAATCAGGACCCTGCCTCAGCATGATGCTGTTGCCACACGTTACTATGTGAGTGACAACAGTGCTGGTATTCTGGCAGGGCCTGTAATGTGCTATGTATATTAGTGGCTGCACGATTTTGTCCTCTGTGATTATCATTGTCTATGTATGAGCTGAAGTGTTGCTTAACTTGCGATATTTTATGCCTTCGAACATTATATCTTTTTATATAAATCAACAATAAAAATTCATAATCATCACAATTGTATCTAAAACGCTGGTGTTAAATTTCTCTATGTGTGTATTATTAACCACAGAACACAGATAAACCGTACATTTGACCGTACCGATTGTACAGGAACCGATCGCATCCCCGGTGCGACACTGTCACTTATGCAAAAACACAGTTTTGCAGGAGAAGCGTTTAAAACTTCAACGTCCCAAAACATACAATATTTAAAAACTTTTTTATTGAAGTTATACTTCTTTAGGCGCGTTATGAAAAAATTATGAGTGAAATTTTAATATGCGCGCGCATCACTGTAACACACGTTACTTTTGTGTTTACCGCACATTAAGAAAATCTACCAACAAAATAGAAATAGAATCTCTATTTAGTGGATGCTAACGACTGCATTGTGAAGGCCTATCAAAAGTATTTATTAATCTGGAACAACGGAACCAAAGCGCGATTCAGGAGACTACAGCGCCATCTCTTGACCACTGGTGTAGTAGAACCAAAAACCACATCTTTATTTTTTGTAATAAAGTAACAGTTATAGGTATTCATATTTATAATATTCATCCACATGTTTCTAGTTTGTATAATCGGAATACGTGTTTGAGTTTCATACAAGTGCAAATCACATATATGTCTAATATGATTTTATTATAACTAAAAGAACTACATATATCACATATGTTCTAATAAATTATATTCAGTAGCGATTTTAATTATTTTTTCAAATTAAAACTGAACTTTATTGACTGTGTCCTTTTCCAGACTTTTTATTAATTTATTGTAATTAATTATTTGCATGCAATTAAAAACTAATTTTAAACGATGCCAAAGAAGGATAACTTCTCACGCGCCTACATAAGTACACGCACCCATTTTTTATTTTTTTTTAGATGAATAGCTAAGCAGTATAAGCTATGTATACTCGTAGATTTCATCTCAAGCAGAGTGAAATACCCATTTCTTATTTATTAATTCTTGAGAATGATGATTTCGGTTTTCAGCTGTGTGAGATTAAGGACGGTAAGAAGGCACCAAGGATACAACTTAGCGATGGAAATGCAATCCCAGCGTTGGGCCTGGGCACATTTTTGGGATTCGACGAGGTAAGTGCAGAGCATAGTGTTCGGCAAAACAGGTTAAAAAAAATAGGCCTTGTTAAATTCCGTAGTAATACTTAAAACAAAGACTTTTCATCATCATCACCAGCCTATTAATGTCCCTACTGCTGGGGCACAGGCCTTCCTTATGGATGGAATAGGGAGATTGGGCCATGACCCACCACGAGGGCCCAGTGCGGATTGGTGAGTGCTAATGACTGCAGATGCAGCCGGGACCAACGGCTTAACGTGCCTTCCGAAGCACGGAGGAACTCGAGATAGAAAATTTTTGGTCACCCATCCTATGAGCGACCACTGAGAAAGTTGCTTAACTTCAACGATCGCAGCTGAACGCGCAAACCACCCGCGCCATCGAGCTCCTCAAACAAACAAAGACTCCTTATGATATATATTGTGGTGTGTGGTGTGTATGTACCCAATGCATGGAACGATACGCACTTGACCGGTTTTTTTCTCAGTATGTTAGCTTCAAACTTCTTGAGAAAAAACCACAAACAAATAAGTTTTCGCAGTAGACATTTTGCACTTAGTCAAATTGATTGCGCGAGCTATCTTAGTTAAAGTTGGCTATGGTCGTCGCTCAAGAAGTTCGCCGGAATGTATACCAGTGTTCGCGCCCGTATAAACCCCACATATATATACCTACATATAAAAGAAAAGGAATATTACAAATCATAGCAAAGAATTGCACTTATATAACGGGTGGCGCCATCTATTGGATTGTACCACTGTAGCGCGCCTAGCACAAACGTCATTGGATGTCACCCGCAGATGGCAGATATCGCTCGTGTTCGTGTGTTCGGCTGTTTTTACCGACTATTATGTCATGACTTGCGAAATTCATTCTCTCAAGAAAACTGTTACTTGTAAATTTTACCCATTATTACATAAAGAGAAATTACTAAAAACACCGAGTTTTTATTGAAGAAGACTCCACATCTATGCCCAAACAACAAGGTTTCTCTCCGTAGCTTTGCGAAGCGATATGAGCGTGTAGTGACCCCAGATCATAGAAGAAAACAGCCTAAATTCGAACTCGGAGTCCTGAACAAGGTGCGGCGTTTTTTCACACCCGAGCAACTGTTCTTGTTGTATAAGACGAGGTGCGGTCTTGCGTGGAATATTGCTCGCAGCTCTGGGATGTCTCCGCCAAGTACTTGCTCGATGCTTTGGATAGGTTACAGCGGCGCGCGATCCGCATTATAGGCGAGGAGGAGGTGCCTAAACACCTCGAGATAGAAGATTTTTAGTCACCCATCCAACGACCGACCACTGTGAAAGTTGCTTAACTTCACCGATCGCGGCCGACGCGCTGCGCCATCGCATTTCAATAAAATGTATTTTATAATTTTTATTTTTTTAAGCATGTAACTGCGTGATGTTCAAATCTAAAGAAAATATAACTAGAAGAAAATCCACGCGGACCACGCGGACCAGGCAGCAGACGGGACCTCTCAGCTGCCTGGTCCGCGTGGAATTTTTTCTAGTTATATTTTCTTTAAAATGTAAATTATTTTTCGTTTATTTTCGACAGCATGGACAGAAAGAGGTGACCGCGCGTGATGTGGAAGATCCAGTCACATGGGCTCTCGACGCTGGATATAGGTAGGTATTATTATCCTATTAATGTCCTCACTGCCGGGGCACAGACCATACCTATGGATGGAATAGCGTGAATGGGCCATACCGCGCGCTGGCTAGACGCGGGACGTGTGTGGGACTCCCCGGCGCGGAACAGGGCCGGTCCTACCCACTATAAACCACCGGTACCCTCCAACGCCCTTGAGGGGGGCGTCTCGGGATCGGCGCCTGTGTGCGCCAATTTACCGGGACGCCACGGGCCGGCCCGATACAGCGAGTGGACCGGGCGGCACGCCTCTGGGGGATTGCGCTAGGGTACTAGGCAATCCTCAGACGGGGTGGCCCATGCCGAATGGCACCTAGGGCACGCGGCGGCCAAGCCGCGCCCAGACCACCTTAGGACCGACGAAGACCGGCTGTCACGGCTGCCTGCCTTCTTCGGCCCACCCGTCTGCGTCGGAGGGGAGCAGCTAGAGCGTCCTCCTTCTGCTCCCTCTCCGCGGCCTCCTTCTGCCCCATATGCATGACCCACCGAGGGTTGCCAGATGCTGGCTTATCAATTCCGGGAATCCACTCCCCACCACACCCCACTCCAAAAATAAAACAAATCAAATTAAAGCTGAGAACCGAATGCGTGGTTCTTTATATGGCTTCTGCCGATCAATTCCTGGACATTTGCACCCACCAGAATTGTATAAAACCCTTTATATATAAAGACTAGTGGCCCGCCCTCGCTTCGCTTCGGTGTAGAGCTGTAGTGTGACATAGGGACAGACAGCGGGAAGCGACTTTGCTTTATACTATTTAGTGACTAGTGATATTTTAATTATTTCAGAAAGCTTGATCTTTTAATTTTTAAACATAGATATCTTAGATTAAAACAGAAAGGGAAGATACGGTACACTCATACAGGCATCAAATAAAATATGATCCGACTCAACTACATTAGCGACTCTCACACACGCACACGTCTGTATATAAATATTCAATCAATCGAGCCAGACAGCACTGTACGCTTCGAAGCAGCGCGAGCGAAACGGCGAGTCCGCTTCCGAGTCCGTACGGCTGAGCTGTATTGTTGTCCTTTTCTTGATAACAAAATGGCGATTACGTAAATAACATTCACAACAAAGCAGTATTTTTGAGAAAAACATGTTTAACAGTTTTACGTATGAAAAGTGTTGCCGATGCATTTGTTTGTTATTGGATTTTGAACTATTTGTGTTCTTTATAAAATCATCGAAGTTCGAAGGCATTGTTTTATCTTTATAACACAGAATATGCGCAATGATTATTGTTATATTGAGTGCACATGCAGCGTGTTTGAATGTCTAATTGTGACTAAACCGAATTATGGTCATGCACCACAATTTTAGCGGATCACTTTTGAGCCTCGAGTGCCGTATTTTGCCTTTTTGTTTTAATCTATGATAAATATAAATTATTCTCCATGTCTTCTAGATTAATAGACACCGCATCAGCTTACAACAACGAGCAGTACATTGGCAACGCTATACGCAAAACATCAGTACGAAGGGAAGACATTTTTCTAGTTACAAAGGTAATTAATAATAATAATACTTAATATAAAACTAGTTTTTACGGGTTAATGCACGAAACTTTATTTATTTATTGACGTTTCATAGCCTTTACAGGCTTCGTCGTCAAAATAAAACTTTTATTATTATTACTAGGTATTATTATATTTTATTTTATAAAAGTTTTATTCTGACGACGAAGCCTGTAAAGGCTACGAAACGTCAATAAATAAATAAAGTTCCGTGCATTAACCCGTAAAAACTAGTTTTATTTAATGAGTGATGTGTGTGAAAACCTAAGAAACAAATATAATACTTAATATATTTTTTCCATATTTCATGACAATTGTACACAGTTGTAGCCCCCACACTAGGCTTAGCCTGTCCTGTAGAAGGATTTTGATAAACAAATGTGACTAAACAGGGAAGCAGAGTTGATTTACAGAATAATATGTACTTACATTTAAAATACATACATTTTCTATGTGAGCGTGTCCACTTCACATTAGGTAAACATTTGTTCCGACTTGGTATAGGTATATATTGCACAATGATTTGACAAATCGAGTTTTCGCAATAAACCCTACCCAGTTAGACCTTTTTTTTTTTTTTTTTTTTTTTTTCGATGACGGGGAGAAAAAATGCATTATATCCACGACAATGACCAGCGCCACGTTAGTTAGCTGTCAACAAACTCTCGCGACGCAGGTAATTGCGTGGTGCATTCGGCAAGCGGCGAGCAGCCCGAGGGCCGCTAGTCAGTGCGGGTATACTTTGACGTGCGCTCACGTAAGCGTGGCACACGTCAAACCACCCCGCCTCCGACCAGCAGCCTGGTCCGCACCCGCTTTAGCCGATCCTGGGCTTCTCCGTTCAACCCAGTTAGACCTAACCTGACCTGAGTGTGAACACAAGAACCCAAAGAACCAAGAGTTATAATAAACCGACCTTTTTTTCGCAATCTTACTAAGATTTTCACGCAATATTAGATTTATCAAATCATCTTAACCTCCTAGTTTTTCGCTAATAAACCAACTTAGTGATGTAATCTATGTATTTTAATATCGATACTTTCTATTCTAGCTCGGCTCTAAGGATCAGCGAAGAGTATTGGACGCCTTGAAAGATTCCCTTGAACGTTTAAATGTTACTTACGTAGACTTGTACCTGATCCATAATCCGGTCGCTTTCAAGGTGAGCTAAAGCAGCGTGTTTGAATGTCCAATTGTGACAAAAGCGAGTTATGGCCATGCACCACAATAGGGGTGATGACGGGGTACAGTAAACGAAATTCTATTTAGTCCGTCAGTTAGATGATCAAAAAATAATGGACACGTATTTTTTCTTTGGGCAATCAACCAAAAAATGACAAAGTTATAGCGCGTCAAAGTTTGGGAGTAGGGTTCGTGGCGTCACTTTTTAGTGAATATTCGCTTAAAAGTGTACTCAAACGTGACGTCATGCGACTTTTCAAATCAATATATCTCTGCAATGTTTATATTATGTGAAAAAAGAAAAAATACGTGTCCAATACTTTTCGATAATCTACCTGATAAACGAAGAAGAAAAAATTAGTCATCATCCCTATTATCTAAAGCATATACATGTTCGCCCGACACGCTATACCAGGTACAGATACGTTGCCGGGAGGCTGCTGGATGCGGAGACGCGGAAGAATCCCTAAACGCGAATCCCGCGCTTTCACGCTAAGCAGCTTAGAGGGTATTCGCAGGGTTTTTAGCGGATATTATGCCGTAAAGCGCCCGTAAGAGATACGGGGTCCTCAGTGGGCAGCCACTGCGGGGGCTCGTAAGGCTTGCGGTCGTCTGTAAATAGTATTTATTGCCAGCGTATAAAAAAAAAGTACACATTTGACAATGACATTTCAGATTCGCAAACAATACGAATTCGATATTGGTTCGTGCTAGGGGTACTGTGCTTAGTACGTCCATGGACGGATGTAATACGCCATTGTTTCTATCTGATCTGATATTTACCTATGGTGGTTATGGAGAACGATCGCTACGTACTAAAGCATTAGCCCGTCTGTCCCTGAAAATCTGTAGAATTATATATTAATTATAATAGGTTTCAAATTATATTGAATGCGTTAGATATGATAACGTAACATTACATCCGCTTACCCACCTTTTCCTATCCCTTGGACGATTTTTTATTGTAATACGAGGGTAGACAGGCAGTATCTGTCAGCTGCCTGTTACTACTACGACGCCATAAAGATCGGTCGACTTTCGAAAAGCCCCGATCCAAATTACATATTACAAGTCAGCGCGTCGGTAGTTCAACGAGCACAAAGGAACATCATCAAATCACCAAGATTACGTGAAGGACAGTTATGACTAGCTCAAGATAACATTCCTACAACATCCGGAAACTTACGAAAATACAGGCAGACCAGCGCTGCTCTAGAGGCTATCGGAGAAAATAAAAAATCGTAAGTCCAAATCACTTTCTGTCCCGCACAGAATTTATAGTGCATTTTTCAGCCACCAGGCGCGCTGCCGTCGGTAAGTAGTATCTGTGAAGTTAGCTTTTTATGGGTACAAGTAGATGAAGTTAGTTGAATATTGTACAAATTTTCTTCGCAGCATTGATCATTTCAAATTAGCCCGCTTTTATTGAGACAACTTAGCGATCGCAGCGCCTCACTTATTTTGTCCATATTTCTGAGATACTATTTTCTACAGCGATCGTTCGCCCTCTCTCTAACCTCCATGGATGTATCGATGTACCATTTAAGTTGGCAATAGACAATAGGGGTGATGACGGGGTACAGTAAACGAAATTCTATTTAGTCCGTCAGTTAGATGATCAAAAAATAATGGACACTTATTTTTTCTTTGGGCAATCAACCAAAAAATTACAAAATTATAGCGCGTCAAAGTTTGGGAGTAGGGGCTCGTGACGTCACTTTTAAGTGAAAATTGTACCAAAACGTGACGTCATGCGACTTTTCAAATCAATTTATCTCTGCAATGTTTATATTATGTGAAAAAATAAAAAATACGTGTCCAATACTTTTTGATAATCTACCTGATAAACGAAGAAAAAAAATAGTCATCATCCATATTGACTGTGGACTTTTGCAGCCAGACGAATCAGGCTTCGACATCGTAGACTACGTGGACACGTGGAAAGGGTTGGAAGAAGCCAAGAAGTTGGGTCTAGCTAAATCTATAGGCATATCCAACTTCAACGAGAGCCAAATAGAAAGACTTATGGCTAACTGTGAGGTGAAACCGACGGTGCTGCAAGTGGAGGTAATAATTTGGTAATATTTTTGTTGGCAATCGTTTAAGTTAAGCAACTTTCGCAATGGCCAGACATTGGATGGGTGACCGATTTTATTTTGAAGTGAAAATTCTTTGCCGGACTGGGTGTAAATGGAAAAATCCAATGGAAAAGATGAAACGGAAATGCGTCACGAGCGTCACACGACTATATTTATATACATATGTGTGTGTGTGTGTGGGATGCGTGCGCAGCTCTTCCCGACGAGCATGAAAGTTGGAGGGTAACTCGGCAAAGGTTGAAACGCTACAAGCGTCACACGCGACAATATATATATATATATATATATACAGGGTGTTACAAAAATACAAATAAAGCTTGAAGGGCGTTGAAGTACATCAAATGAGGAGTCTTCTTTAATTTTCATAAAATATTTGCATGAAGTTTTAACTTCTTATAAAAACAGTTATTTTTAATTATCCTCGAACTAGTGACGTGTCTTAAAATGTACGATATTTTTATTAATCATTAAAAATAAATGTTTTTATAAAAAGTTAAAACTTCATGCAAATATTTTAAGAAAATTAGAGAAGACTCCTTTATATGATGTACTTAAACGCCCTACAAGCTTCATTTGTATTTTTGTAACACCCTGTATGTATATATGTTACGCTCAAAGATCGAAAACGCTCAGTGAGCGGAAAAATAGTCACAGTAAAACATCTACATGGCGAAATTCGTGTTTGGGTCTAATGAATGTGGCAATCACAGAAAGACCAAATAGCGAAATTCGTGTCGTAGCTGACATGCTATTCGATATCAACGCGTTGTGGCAATGAAGAAAAGAAATGACGCGTTCTGAGCATTCATTGTTTTAACCATATCACGACGGACAGGTTGTAAGTTGATAGAGGACGTGCAGCACCCAGGAATGTTTTGTGTTATGAGCATTAATCCATCAGGTCTCTACCAGTTAGGAAACAAGGAAGGTACATTCGATAGACTTTATGCACGTAATGAGTTTACACTTTCTGAAACTAACTTTATTAACATTTGTGATGTGCCCTCAACTTCGTCATTAACACTTCGCTAATTAATATAATATAAAGAATAGTCAAGTGCCAGCACAAGAAACATAACACACAATTCACATTTACGATTTTGCAGGTCAACCTAAATCTGGCCCAGCCGAAACTCCTGGACTTCTGTAAACGCCACGACATTGTAGTAATGGCGTACACGCCATTCGGTACACTGTTCCAGAAGGGTGGAGAAACTCCCCCTCCTAAATCTGATGACCCTACCCTGGTTGAGATAGCTGACAAATACAAGAAGACTACTCCACAGATCGTGTTAAAATACTTGGTAAATATGTTTTACTAGCGGCCGCCCGCGATTTCGTACGCGTGGAGTTAGTTAGAAATAAAGGTTCACTGCTCGTTCGCCGTAGGTGATAGCGTGATAATATGTAGCCTATATGTTGACCCGACTTCTTAATAATATTCGTGCCAAAGGACAATGGGCAAAACACACCCAGCTCCGCCGACAATGTAATTAGTATGAAGCGATAGATCTATGAAAAACTAGCATTTTTTATTATGACACCGAAAATAAATATCCTGGGAGTCAAAAGATATGACACCGTAAAAAATATCCTGGTAGTCAATAGATATGACACATGGCCATATTTAAGAAGCTGAATAAATTCATTTTATAGTAACTTCATTTTATATTATTAGTAATCATAATAATATGCCATATCGTATTATACAACCAGATATACGACAAAGCCTGCCGAGCATCCTGCGCTTGCTCTTACCGAGACATTTCAAAACAGTTTACGGTTGCTGAAGGACTTGCAGTTGCAAATAGATAACTCGTCTTACTTCGTTGTGATTGTGCGAGTTAACTTAAAATAACTAAAGACCCCCGGGATGGAATTTGATGCGCTTTGGCACAGATGATCTTGACTATAATACCTTTCAAACAAATGTACTTTAAGCCGTGGCGGACGCGGGTGCAGCGTCCATATATTTTTGCCCAATGTCCTTTGAAGTAAATCCATGCAGTACTTTTTGAGTTTATCCCGGGCATACATACAGAGACACAGGCAAAAATTCTAAAAACTATATTTTTGGCTTCGGTATCGATTGTAGATCACACCCCAGGTATTCTTTGAAAAAAATATTCAATGTACAGTTTTGACTTTCCTACCATTTTATTATATGTATAGATTGTTTCATTACTTCCCCGCTCGTTGAAATATTGGTTTCGAACGCTTTTCATTAAGAGAGGACGTGAGCTGAGAGAATGTGAGAAATAGGCATTTGAAATAACCATTACTAATAATGTTTTTATTTTATTTATAAGCATTTGACTGCTAGATGTTTAAATCTAAAGAAAAGTTTTACTAGAAAAATATCTACGCGGACCAGGCAGCGGACGGGACTCGAACCCGCACCCTTCGCAATCCGGGCGAATGCACTGACCAATTATGCATGGCCGCGTCGAAATTTTGCCTAGCCTTAAGCTGCAAGGCAGCGCCATCTCTTCGCATTGTAGGTCCTCCAACCCTCAGTGGTCAATGCATTCGCCCGGATTGCGAAGGGTGCGGGTTCGAGACATATCTAAAAGATTTTTTTCCATATATTTATAAGTATTTAGTTATTCTATGCCTCTATGTTTAGCTTTTTTTTATAAATGCTTATTTAATCTCTACACTAGACGTCTTTAGTAGTAAAAATATTTGTTTATTTTTGGCATTTTTGAGGGCATCTTGTTTCTTTGAAACACAAGTTATCGAAAAAAGGAACACATAGGGGCATAGAGTGAGTCAAATTATATTTTATATATGAAAATCAATTCTTTAATGATAAAAATCTGTCCAGAGCGTTCGTATGGAAAAAACAACGCCCGCCTCCCCTCTTAATGCGGGTGAGGGGCACCTCTAGTTTATAATATTCTTTAATTTAAATCCGTTTCAGGTTCAGTTAGGAGTCGTGCCCATACCAAAGTCTACTCGCAAGAACAGAATCGAAGAGAACATTGACATTTTCGATTTCGAACTGAGCAACGCAGAAATGGATACATTGAGTAAGTTGAACACCCATCTACTTCATCATCATTATCAGACTATTAATGTCCTCTGCAACTGCTGGGGCAAAGGCCTTCCCTATGGATTAAATAGGGAGATTGGGCCAGACCCACCACGCGTGTCCAGTACCGATTGGTAGGTGCTAACGACTGCAGCTTCAGCCGGGAACCAAGGTTGCTAGGTCTGCCGATTTTACAGGAGATCTCCTGTTTTTCTCAAATATCTCCTGTTCTTCTGTTTTTCCACATGAATCTACTGTTTTTATTGAATTCAATTTTCTTTCCAGCAGTTAAATGCTGAAAAAATTAAAATATAACTTAATCAATCCTTAAAATTCCCTTAGTTAATTGAAATTTAACTCAAAATTATTTCTCCAGGGAAATTCAACAAGAACTATCGTACGGTCTTCCCGAGTTTCTGGCAAGACCATCCCTATTATCCTTACGAGAAGAAGGATGTGCCTGACCCAGATCCCTTCAAAGGAAACCATTGACAAGGATTTTCAAAAAACAGCTGAAAAGTAACGTTATGGCTTAACATAGCATTATATAACTGACAACAGTTATTTATTTAGCTGATAACCGAAAACGGTTATTTATCACTTTTAATATTTATGTATGATAGATACAAAATTTTGCATAATGAATTACTGTGTTTTATTTTCTTTATTTACTTAAATGGAAAATATCAACAAACAAATTTTGCTTCGTCTATGAATAAATACGTTGTGGCACAAATTTTATGTTTATTTTATAAAACTAGCAAACTGTGAACCAAATGTTCACCAAAACCTAATTAAAAAAAAATGTATTGAATTAATTAAGAACTTCGGAGATTTTGTGAAAACCGGAAGTGCTACGTTACTCAAATCCGGTTTGTAGTCTTATCAGACTATTCTTAACTTATAACTTAAATATTCTCTTTATCTATCTCTTACGGTTTGGCCGCTGAAACAACTCCACAGACAGACGGACGGACGGACGGACTTGTCTAATAGATAAGAGATTATTTTATTGATTAGGTGATCCAGCGTTAAAAACTGTAAGTATGTTAAGTCTTTTCAAAGTAAATGTGTCAAATAGTCAAAGAAATATATTTAAAATAAATAATGAAATAATACTAAAGTATGGCTACTGCTACAATTTAAATTAAAACAAATTAACATAAGATGGACGAATAATTGAATCGAACTAATCATTCATTTACTATTTCTTTAATAATCACGATATTCAATAACAACAAAATGGTTTTCACTATGGTTTTATTATTATATTCAATACATAACAATATACAATATGATGAAGTGAAAAATATGTAAAGAAAATAAAAAGATATAGTAGCGATAATATATTTATTTATTTGTTTGCAATAACCACCATATTTAATATTCTACAAAAAGTATACAATCTCATCAGTTGGGGCACTGAATATAAATTAATACAGAATTGTGAATAATTCGAATGGGATTTTTGCCTATTTTTTTTTAAATGTACTTATATAATATTGTGACTCCTAATTCGATATTTGTATGAATAAAGAGAAAAAAAAACATTTTATAAAAAACGTGTAAACTCAATTTTTACTTTTGGGTAAAAGTGATATTAATTGCTAATACGACTTTCAATTTAAATAACCGTATATTGCATGCATTTAAATAATTATTCATACAAATATCCAAATACTTAGTAAAGAGATTTCTCCTATATGATATCGAATATTTAAATGTATGAACTGAGATAGATGCTGACAATATTTATAACATTTACGCAGAATAATTTCATAGTAAATAGATCTAAATTTCAAAAAGGAAGTTTTTGTAACATTCTACATATCGTTGATTCTAGTAATATAAGTTATTTACGGGATTGTTACCATGTACCTTGTTTTTAGCGTACCGTACGCACAGACATATAATTATATGTCTGTGACCGTACGTTACTCCGTGATCATGGCGCTCGCAACAGTGCCGAAATATGAAACTCGCTTAAAACAATGTACATAGTAACAATCCCGTAAATAACTTATATTAATTTAATGTTAGTGACCATGAAAGTTCAAAACAATATATCGTTCGATGATTCTAGATAAAAATCTATGCTTTTTATTACACAGTTTAACTGAAAAGCTTAGGGCTACTTTCTATATAATTTTATTATTGATGGCATTTTTAATTTACACAAATTTTAATAGTTGTAGCTATAGTTGAAAACGTCGTTATAATTATAGCGTTTCAAATATATCCGACTGCGGAGGCATCTTACATTACATGCGTTTTATGAAACGTAGGACAATAGGTCTGAATCTTGCATGAATGTGAACCCCCTTAGTAATAAACCAAGATTAAGCTTGTATTAGTTACTCTTTGTTTTGTTTCTGTTCATTGAAGGACATGGGGCATTTGAGTGATATGAACAAAACAAAAAAAAACAAAAAAAAACACAAAAAAAACAACAACAAAACTAAAAAACAAAAAACCTAATTAAACACGGCGTAACTAGTCTAAGCATATTCCTGGTTTATAAATAAGGAGGTTAAGTTTATCATGTTCAATAGAGAATTATGGGAATAGAAAACTGTCAAAGTTTCAAGTTTTACTAAACATGTAAGAATTAGGCCCACCTAATAATTCGATAAAACGTTTCACTCCAGCCCACCTAGCATGAGCAAAACGATATTGATATATAACGCGTTTTTAATACGCTCAATTGTCAAATTACTACGGAGTTTTGTAGTGTTTGTTTTTAAACAGAGCGTGACACTGACACACGTAGGACAGCTGTTTTGTCTATGATAGCGAACCGCTTACGTCAGCGTAGCTGTCAAACTTCATTGATTGGGTTGGTAGCCTTGAGGGAAGAGTCGATTTTCCTATTCGACTAAAATATTCGACTTGAGACTTAAAAAAAAAAAAAAAAAAAAAAGTAATCAGGCAGTGAATCTCTGTGGGGGCGCGTGGATGAATGGATGGAGTTTGACAGTTGTTGAATTTTGAATAGTTTTTCCCAGATCGATTTGAGTCCTCCTTATCGGGTGCTGTTTTTAATCGATTTTGAATTTTACTCGAAATTGAATTTCCTCGCTGATTTGGGTAGGTATTCCCTTTTCCTCAGCTTACGGCGAGCGTAGGTATATAGTTTTGAGTTTATTCTTCGGTTCGTCTCGAATGCGGCGGCTGTCTGTTTGACTGTGGCCTTTGCCTTCAGTTGAAGTGGGAAACAAATCATAGACACATGTTTGGGAGTGGACGACCCGTCTATCATCTATGAGCAATTGTCAAAACAACTTTTAAAATTTCACAATCTGTTTGTGGTACGGTTAACTTTTCATCTTTTCTTCTGCCCAAAGTATAATAAAAGGCATATTATTGTCGTCGGAGTCGTGAGATAGATCCGAAAGGTTTATATCCCGAAGGATATTGGCGGAAAAAGCGCGGAGTCGCTAACCGAACTGAGTTTCGTAGGTATATTGGAGTAACTCTTTTTCCTACATAATTTGCAAGTTTGGGCTGTGAAAAATAACCTTTCTGTTGATATTCTGTAATCTGCAATAATAAGGCGGTAACTTGTGATAGGAAACAAAATACTTACGGATAGTTTCATATTTCAAACGGTAAGCTATCATCTGACCTCATATTTATTCTCCTAGCACTAATTGAACTGCATTATGAACAATATAGTGATTCTTGTCAGCAAATATACCTAATCATTCTTGTCAAGTTAGTGAACGTGGAATTGATTTTCTTCAACCCGGTGGGACGGGCCCCAGTCCTGTAGTGATTCAAATTTTAAAGTGTAAACATTGACCGTGAATATCCCTCACTCCCTCACCCACTACAGATGTGGTAATCTATGTATTTTCCCCATATCTGATCATTTTTTTCAATGTGAACTTCAGGCTTGTACGTTCCCCTCAAGAAATACTGGAGGACTAACAAGGAGACTTTTTTCTGTACACGGACCAGAAGGGACGCGGGAGTTTATTTGCCAGCCGCTCTCCGGTTTTATGTAACCCGGCCGTAACAGCAGACAGATTATACACAGCTAAACCTATCATAATCAAGGTATTTCTCTACTAACCCCGGGTGAACGTGGAGAGGAACCACCAGGCGAGGTTGGACCCCGACTTACCCATTTCCATATATATACATATATCTATATAACTGGTTATCTCACTGAGAACTAAAATTAACTAAGTTTGTCACCAATATCGATCAAACGAGCCGTAGAACCTCTGAAATCCACTAAATAGCTTATTCAGTCTAGTCTATGTGGTATTTGTGGATAAAATATATTAGTAAGTCTTATATTGTAAGTACATGGTAAAGTGTTATGAATGTCTGATATTCATATAATTATAACCTTTCATGACAACTTGTTGGTTTATATACACATTAACTTTGAACTACTGTATTCAGCTTAGATATTTATAATTAGTGAAACATAGTTATTATATAAATAATAAACATAGTTAGACTTGTTGATTTATATAAGCAATAACTTAAAACTACTGAATTCCTATGCTTTGGTATCTAAAGTGGATAAAATATACTTATAACATTATCTTAATTTTTTGGTTTTCTTTTATTGTTCCCCCGGTGCTCTGAGTGAGCTAGAAGAGGGCTGTGGAGGGGAATTTAACATTACAGTTTGGACGCGATAAAACACGTGCTCTCAAAAAGTTCAAAATCAATTAACAAATGCCTCATCAACATTTTTCATTCCTAAAACTGTAAAAACATTTTTTTCTTAAAAATCACGGTTTGGCGTGAATGTTTTGTACGTAATCGCCATTTTGTTATCAAGAAAAGGACAACAATACAGCTCAGCCGTGCGGACTCGGAAGCAGACTCGCCGTTTCGCTCGCGCTGCGTTGAAGCGTACAGTTCTGTCTCGCTCGCTCGATTGAATGTTTATATACAAACGTGTGCGTGTGTGAGAGTCGCTGATGTAGTTGAGTTGGAGTATATTTTATTTGATGCTACTATGAGCTTACCGTATCATCGCTTTTTGATTTAATCTAAGATGAAAACTAAGGAGCCGGACGTAGGAACAATTTCGCTTTTATTTTTATTAAAGATCAAACTCGTGCCGTCTCTATCTCAGTTCTTCCATCTCCATCTATTTGTAGACGATGAATTCTCCCTCTAGCTCGTTGTTTTCGGTCTGTACGATGCATTTCGCGTTCGCTTCGAAGTCGCACTGTTGCGTCTGGGCGTTGAAGAACAAACCGTCCGTACAGTACGCGGATTGTACGGCGCCGTTTACACACTTCCAGTACCGTTGGCAATCGCCCCTGTGGAAACGAAGCGAACATTGTATTGGGCTGTAAGAAAATACTAGCAAAAACACGGGATTTATTGTTGGTAGGTAAGAGTTAAATTTTCCAATAATAATTGTTAGCATCTGTATTGAATATGAATATTTGCATCGATTTCACTGTTTTCAAAGAACAAAATAATTAATAATTGTTCTATAAAATCCTTAAATAAACATG